AAATTCCATGCTCCTGACAGCAAAAACAAAACAAAACAAACAGAGAACTTGTCAGTGCCCATCTTATGTCATTCAGATAAAGAGCCAAGAATTTGGGGCTTCTCAAATCTTAATCAGCATGCAAGGCCCAGTGGGGCACACGGTTTGGATGTGATCACGTACAACCCCAAGGAGACTCTCACTCCCACTGGGGCTGGAACATGAAGTTGTTAGTCTTTGTCTAGTATTTACACTGGGAGCAAAGCCAGTTCCTGGCTCCCTCCTGTGGGGTGTTCTTTCTGGTATTTGTGACAACACTGGACGTTGCCGTGATAAGCCCCGTGGCTCTGTGTGCTGTTCAAAGTGATCGCAGGAAGGTTCTGGCCTCTCTGTCTGGGCCTCACTGAGGACATTTGCCACAAACACCACAGTCACCACCCCAATGGAACCAAAGTCATCATTGAAGAGCATGCTTTGAGGCTGCTTACTGGTTTTTTTCCTTTTAGACATAATCTAATCTAACGTTATTTCTCTTGGAAGATGACGACTCAGCTCCTTTCTTTCCCATCACACACACACTCACACACACACTCACACACACACTCACACACACACACTTTTTCTATTCGTCTCTCCAGTATTTTCTTTAAAGGCCAATATTTAGTGCAGACTTTATTGTGTCTGTTTCCTGCTTTTCACATGAGAGCCAACCAGCTGCGATTTCTCTGCATTTGAAACTCTGGGGCGCATCACAGATGGAGACTCTTCCTTCTGTGAGCTGCAGACGCGGGGACAGCGGTCCTGGGCATTAGACACTTGTGATGACACCAGGAGAGGAGAAAAAGCCCAGAACCGCGCGCCTCCCTCCCCGGCCCCTCCGGTTACCGTGCGCGCCCTCTGCTGGCCACGTTGCGAACTGCGCCTCCCAACAGGCTCAGATCATTGTTCCAGCCCAGGGTCACCCCTGGGGCAGAGCCAGGAAAAGTCAGTGTCAAGTGAAAATGCGGGGCTCTGGGCTCAAAAGCCACTAAGAATTTCAGGATGGCGAAAGCAGAGTATTAAAGCTACAGCAGGGCCTCCTAACCAAGTGCACGGATTGCGAGCCCTTGAAGCAGGCCCTCCCTGGCAGGGCAGAAGGATTGTCACCCTCCAGGTCATAGAAAACCTACCGCCCTGCAGCCATTGTCACCCTTAATGTGAGCACGAGAGGCTTCCCACTGAGGGTGAACAAAATGGCAAGTTTTCTAAGTGCCTTAGGAAGACCCGTGTGCTTGGAAAGGTGGAAGCGGATGCCTGCTGACGTTGATGCTGTGACACAATGACATCAGTGATGACAGTGATGCCATGGCAGGATCAGCTCTAGTGATGAACAGTTTAAGCAAAACATGAGCTGCTGGGATATCCACATGTGTGACCATCCAGGGATCTGTCACACCCGTGAGGCTTTTGTGGCTCCACTAGTCTGGGCCATGCGGGACGTAGCCTCGGGAGTGAAGGACACGCTGCGGTCCTTGTGCCGCCACCTCGCCCATGTCAGAGGAATGAAAGGCACGCTGTGAAGCCTCTGGCGACACCTCATAAGGGAATGACATGCAGACTCCTGGGGTTTGCAGCAAGGCCATGCCTTCTACAGCAGTAGAACCACATTTCTGACCAGCTTCTAGGCCTCAGAGAGACGGAGACTCTGACATGGGCTGTAATGTGACCAGGTGGCCAGAACTGCTCATCATGACCTGGGTTCTGTCACACCCAACACAGGGTCAGGTGGGGAGAGCAGCACCCATCACAGATGGAATGGACACATCCTGGGTTAGACAAGGACAGGTGGCCCAGGCCATGGGCACCTACCAGTCCAGGACAGACCTGTCACAGAGCTCTCGCCTGTGGAATCACAGAAAGTTCACTCTGACTAGTCAGCAAAGAAGGAAAGGGCCCCACTCACTCCAAGTTCGTCCCTCAGTTCTACCTCCCTCCTCCGACACACACCATCAGCCACTCCCTTGCCTGTCCCCAGGCTCCTAGGCAGACTTGCTTTACTGCCGCGCAAATCCCCTGGGACCCGGCTAACTTATTGACTCAGCTGAGGCATGTCTTGGGAAATGGGGGTGGGACTTGGCTTGTCGCGGCTCTCCCAGGCCAGGGGACGCTGCTGCCCCCAGCCCGCCCTCAGAGCCAGCTGCCCACGGCCCTACTGGGTGGGAACTGGGGACTGGACACCTCTGACCCTCAGTGTGGCCCGCACCCCAAGCCTGCCCTGCACTCCCCACCGTCCCCAGGCTCTATCCCTCCCCCTTTTCTAACTACCCTGCTCTCCAACTCCCTTCCTGGCTCAACTCTTTAAGGTCCCTCACCTCATGTTGTGCACTCATGGTGTCCCCATCCTAACCCCTCACCACTCTCCTGACTCCTAGCTCCCCACACTGTGCTCATCTCCTTCTCCCCTTTGTCCTCTGTCCCTGTCTCCTGCCAGCCAGTACATCTGTGCTGCCTCTTGTTCCGATGTCAGGGCACGAATCTGAGTCTTCCAGAACCTTCCTTTCCCCCAACCCTGTGTCTCACCCCTCATGCCCATCCCCCCACCTCCCCACACCAGCTGCAGGGGCTCCTCCCTCAACAGGTAGGTCGGCCCCTCACTCATATTCCTCAGCCCCACCCCGAGCTCCCCCCAAAGCCCTCCTGCCGGGCACCCCTAGGTCCCCTTGAGCCCATATGATGCCTAGCGCCCCAGCCCTCCACAGCCCCCTCTATGCCCACCCTGCTTACCCACCGTCCACCTCTGGCCCGCTCTCCAGATACCCCAGAGGCCACAAGGCCCAGGACGAGAAACAGAACCGGAGGAGAGATTTCTTTCCATTTCCCAGGTTCTGGATGTGGACTCTCTAAGGACAGACACCTGGAATTTGTAAAAACAACAAAGAAATCAAAGAATGAGGCCACAGATGTGTCTCCTGAGCTCCAGGTCACCGAGGGCCGGAAAAAGGGTCATCCAGTGCAGGCCTGCGGTGGAAGACGTGACAGGGACCTGCATGTTTGCCAGAGTTGTTGACTTTCAAGACAGAATATTCTTTAAAACCTTTGTGATCTTGTTTTTTGAACATGCGGTGAAAACATATGTGAAATGAGAACGCCGTTGATGGTTAGATCGCTGCTGACATGCGCCCTTTCATGCCAGCAGGTCTTCTCAAATTAAGGGACACAGCCCGCTCCAAGGCAACCTGGGGACCCAGAAATACCTGGGCAGTCAGGTCATCTCCTGCTGTGAACACCAAGTCAGAAGGGAGGGAGGAAAACTGGAAGCTTTTATTTGAATGATTGTAGCAAGATACAGAACGACACTGGAAGATTTGAAAATAAGGTCAGGATGGACACTGTGAGCAAGGTGACAGGGTCAGCTAATTACAGGTGGGTGATGCCAAAGTAAAACATGCATCGGACAGATTTAAGGAGGCAGGAAAGAGTTTATTCAAGACCATGCAATAGGGCTGTGAGACTAAACTCAACACCCGTGAAACAAAATGCTGGAAAAATTTTAAGAACAGCAGAAGGAATCATAGATATTTATGTTTGCTAACTGGCTTTACACAAAAGAATAGGAAACTTCTCATGAAATCCTGACAGGAGGTCTTTTCACATCTTCGTTGTGAAGATCCNTTTACACAAAAGAATAGGAAACTTCTCATGAAATCCTGACAGGAGGTCTTTTCACATCTTCATTGTGAAGATCCCCACCCAAGTTAGGCTCCTACCCTTTCTCAGAGACTGGGACACAGGGACACCAGGAGCATTACATTTCAGAGGGATGGACCCAGGATCTTGAGACAGATGTTCTCTGGTTCAGAGCACTGGCAAGAAGCTTTCAAGGAGACTTACGTATATTTCAAAAGGGAAGAGAAAGAACCTGAATTACAAGTCTCAATTACATTTCTAAAGGAAATGCTCTAAAAAAAATAAAGGTCAGAGGCCTATGGTCAGGAAGAGCCTGTGTAAAGGTTAGTGACTCTGCGGGGACACTAGGCCTCTAGGTCATAACAAAGCTGCTTTCTGCATAATGGAGGGAAACGCAACTAAATCTCTTTCAGCCAAGACCCAGTTTGCATCTCCATCAGCTTCTGCAGTTTATGAAGAGCTGCGAGTTCCCAGCAATTTATAAGGAGGTGCAGAACAGCTGAGACCCTGAACAGAGCCACACCTGATCTCCCAGAAGGCTGTGCTTCTGGAGTTTCCATGGAGATACTGCGTTTCTCTCCACAGTCACCTTCCCTTTCAAACATCCCTCCAAAAAACAAGAGTATTCTTCACCCTACAACACGGCTGGTGTCACTGGGTTTGGCCTGATTGGTGACCTGAGTGCAGAGGAACCGACATTCACCACAGAGTTTGCTCTGACGCAGGTTTTTCTGTGAAACCTCAGGTGGGAGTTTTAACAGCCTCTGGAGGTCAGGAAGCCCCCCCCTCACGCCTCACCCGCAGGCTCTGCAGCTTTGGGCGATGACCTTTCCTCCAGGAGATTCCAAAAGACCCATCAGGTCAAACTCAGCTCCATGAAGGGCGAGGTCATTTCTAATTCTCAGGGCATCAGTCTGAACTGGGACATTTGAGCCAAAGCTTTGATTGTATTACCAACATTTCCAATTATATCTTATTAACAAGGAGGGCAGAGTCATACTAAACTTATGCAAGTAAGTCTATTGCTTAACATTAAGAATACTAAAGAAGACTTCAGTAATTTGGGGGGAGAAGTCAAACAGGGAGAAAAAGGTCAGTGTTGCTACCAACATGGGTGTCCTGTCCATTCCCATTGTCCACAGCAGTGTCCAGGTGCCCTCCACTTATCTCCCTGAAAGAGGGACAGAGCTCAGATTCCTGTTATCTCATCACGTGTTCCCACCAGTCATCACACGACCACTGCTCATCCTCTGAGGGATTAGATGTCACCTCCACTGTGGAGATGGTGCAACTTAAATAAATCAGAGGTGGGATCTGGTGTGGAACGTGACCTTAAGTCAATAATAATGATAATGTCAGCTCTTAATTTTGTGCATTTATTGACTCAATGTAAGTCTTCTAAGGACTTTCCACCCTCACAACAAATCTATTTAAAGGGTGCAAAATTATTCAGAGATTAATAATACAGAGGAGGGGAGGAGGGTCACTCATGCTTCACATGCAGCTCCACAGGCGCACTTTCAGCGGAACTGATGGGGTTGGAGACCTCACACTGATAATACCCAGCGTCCTCCCTCTTCACAGGGTCTATGGTGAGGGTTCTGTTGTTCCAGGACAGCTTCATTCTCTCCCTGAGCCGTAGATTCATGCCATTGAAGAGCCATTGCGTGGAGATCGCATTTGTGTAGCAGGTCATGACCACGGCGTCCTTGTGCTCTGTGACTGTCGTGTTGCTGGCCAGGAGGGTGGGCACTCTCACGGGCTCTGCGGGGAAACAGAGGACATGAATAATTGAATGAGGGCTTGGGACCTGGGCCCACGCTGCCTCCTCAGAGATCTTAGCCTCTCACAGTCCACAGTGAGCTCTGTAAAGGTCACCAGAGGATGGTCCTAACCTCTGCAGAAGGACGACTGTCTTTGTTCAGGTGACAAAGTATAAGCAGAGGGAAGGCTGCACCTCCTCTCTGACTCCAGATTACTCCAGGTGAGGCCTGACCTGTTCCCGCAGACCCTTTCCAGCCGATGTGTCCAACAACCTCATCATCAAGAGAAAACTCTCATGAGCTTTTATTGATTTTTTCCTAAAACTTTACTTGACTTCAAATATGATCAAGTCCCATTCTTCCTGTAAACTGCCATGTATGTGGGGAAGGCAGCCTTACCACCTCTGTCCATCTCTGGGGCCAAGGGAAGTTTACAGAAAGTGAAAAGGCATTTACCTCTTGTTAACTAATTCATTAGGCAGGAAACATGGCCCAACCCCGTCTTCATGACCTTGGATCTGAAGAGGTTTCATCTAAAGGATTCCTCAGTCTGAACAGGACTTTACTTCCTGGCCTGCTGATTGAATATCACCATGAGCAAAATTGCTAGAGAAGTTGTTGTGGTTTCAACAAAAGACAGGGACTGTAGGAACAGAAGAAAACTACTCTTTGTGGCCAAGACCATGCGTGAGCGCCCACAGCTAGCACAGCTCTCCATGGAGACACTCGGAAAACCTTACTGAGGTCGTGAGCGAGGCAAGGACGCTGCTTTCCCCCATTTTCAACATAGTACTGAAAGTCCTGGTCAGAAAACCAGGCAAGAAGATAAAGTAAGAGGTATTCAAATGGAAAAAAAGAAGAAAAATTATCTTTTTTTGTTGTTGTTGTTAAATATGTCTTTATTGATTTCAGAGAGAGAGAGGGAGAGAGAGAGAAACATCAGTGATGAGAGTCATTGATCGGCTGCCTCCTGCACGGCCCCTGCTGGGGATCGAGCCAGCAACCCGGGCATGTGCCCTGACCGGGAATGGAACCTTGATCGCCTGGATCCTAGGTCGATGCTCAACTGCTGAGCCACGCTGGTTGGGGGAAAAATTATCCTTTTTAAAATACAACATAAATCTACATGTAGAAAACCCTAAAAATTCCATCAGACACATACACACACAAATCTGTTAGAATGAACAAATAAGGCAAAGCGCCAGGAGATAAAATCAACACTCAGCATCATTTCCATTTCTTTGCAAAAACAACGAACAGTCCCCAAATGGAATTAATAACACAGTTCCATTTACAATAGCATCAGAAAGAATAGAATGCTTAGGATTAAGCTTAATTAATAAAAAGGAAAATGTATACGCTGAACACTACCAAATGTTTCTGAAAGAAAATAAAGGAGAAACAAAGAAGTGAAAAGACATCCATGTTCAGGGATTGTAAGACCTCCAACTCTCTAGATGTTTGACACAAACCCTATAAAAAAAACAATTGCCTTTTGCATAAATAGAAAAATCCATCCTAGAATTCATATGGAATTTCAGTGGACCCCCAAATGGTTGCAATGATCTTACAAAAGAAGAATAAAGTTGCAGGTTTCACGCTTTCCTATTTGGACACTTACTACAGAGCTAAAGCAACCAAAATAGTGTGACAATGACATAAAAACTTCTATTTATCAAAAGAGACAATCAAATGATTTGGACAAAGGAGCCCGGAGTGTTCAATGGAGAAAGGACAGTCCTTTCAACAAGGGGTGTTGAACAGCCACATCCACACGCAAACAAATGAGATGGACTATTGCTTACACCGCGCACAACAATTAAGACAAAATGGATCGAATCCTAAAGGTGAGACCTAAAGCTATAAAACTCTTAGAAGAAAATATAGGGGGAAGCATTATCCCATTGCATTTGGCTATGCATTCTTAAATATGGCCCTAAGAACACAGGGGGGAAATAGTAGATAAGTTGGATTTTGTCAAAATGAAAAATTTCTGTTCATCAAAGGACACAATCAACAGAGCCACAGGTGACCTATGGAATGGAAGAAAATACTTTGCAAATCATATATAGGATGAGGGGTTAATATCCAGAATATACAAAGAACCCTTACAACTGAACAACAACAAACCAGGTAACCTGATTTAAAAATGGGCAAAGCACTTAAACAGACATTTCTCCAGAGAAGGTATACCAATGGCCAGTAAGCACAACAATATGCTCAACATCGCTACCACACACAGAAAAAAGGCAAATCACAACTCCCGAGGTCGGAGCTGATGCTTGCGGTGTGGGCTGCGGGCACCTCGCCGCGCAAGTAGCAGAGAGCGCTGCCCTGTGCGGGGCCTTTCACGCGTCCAAAGGCTTCTTCAGTCAGAGTTGGGCCTCTCACCTCCCAGCAAACTTCAGTCCTTAAAAGAATACGGCAGGTCTGAGTGTCACAAGACGAACACACGGGCATCTGAGCGCTCAGAGGCCGAAGGCCGCCTGCTCTGCCTGGGGGGAAGCACAGGCTTTCTCAGGCGTCAGTTAAGCACCGGGGTTTGGTGACGTAAAGACATAGGACTGGGAGCCAGAGGCCAACCCAGACTTCTCCTGGATTTTCACCGACCAGCCGGCAGCCCTGCCAGCGAGGGGTCATTCCTTCCAGCTGCACAGACCTCCATTGCCCAGCCGAGGTGTGTGTCTATGAAACATAACTTCTGAGGACGTGCTAGAGACTGGGACCGGAGCAGAAATAACCCCTGGGGACCAGGGGAAACCCAATGGTCAGTTGACTGCTCAGGCCCCAGGGCCAGAAGGTTGGGCAGGCCTTCCCAGGGGAGTGTGACTGGCAGGAGCCAGTGAGCCCATAAATGACAGAGCAGCGCCCGGGAGTGAGCTAGGAAAGGGCGCGGGGGGCAGGCAGGGGCTCCCTGTGGCCGCAGCACCACGCGCCCTGCCCTTGGTCATGGAAGCCCATCTCCCTCCGCTCAGGGCAGGTGGGGACGTGTGCGGACGCAGAAGGGGGGTGAGGGACGGAAGAGGGGAGCACGGACTTGCTGAAATTCTGTCCCCGTGGGCCATTTGTGTTTGGTGGTTATGAGATAAAAATTTGGAAAGAAGTTAAAATTATTATTGATACCCCAGGGCCCAGGACCAATTGCAGCAAAGAGTCTCTGAGACATGGCTCTCGGTCCCTGGAGGGACAGGGAGTTTGTCCTGTGTGGCCAGAATTTTAAGGACTCCGCACTGAGTTTCCAGTTTCTGAAGAGCTTTTGGATCATTAACTCATTCAATCACATTTATTTCTTCCTAATTCATCACCGGCAGTTGGGTGTTTGTTACGTGCTGGCCCTGAGCCGGCTGCAGGTGTAGGGGGGAGTGGGAAGGCAAAGCCCTTTCCTTCATATCCAGTGGCAGTGACGCCAACACATCAGGAAACAAATCAGTGATTTCAAGTCCAGGGCAGGGAGGTGGGGATCTGCCACCTGAGGGGAGGCCGGGGCGTTCCCAGCGCGGACTCTCATTGTCACTGCTGGTCATTTTGTTCTGGAATAAAACCAGATTCATTCTCCATTTGCTGTTGTTTTCAGACCAGAATCTCTCCCTCTGAGCTCAGGACGCCCAAGAAGAGAGGATCTGAACCAATGGTTGGTCTCGGGGTCCACAGGCACCTGATAAGGCCCCGGGGTGGAGGAGGGGCTGGGGCTGGGGCTGCAGACAGACCTCGAGTGACTCTGCTCAGCTGCTCATGGTCCGAGGGACTCTGCTTTAGTGAGTGCATCTCCCTGTGCCTCCGTTTCCCCTCAGTGAAGTATGATGAATATTTGGCCACCAGGTTGTCAGTGTATTAACCATAAAATAGTCACAGTATCTGACTAAACCTTGGGAAAGGGGAGCTGCTCAAACAAGAGGCACCTGTTCTTGATCGACTCCAAGAGAGAATCACCTGGGCTGACCCCTGTGGATGAGGGGCTGCCAGGAGCACCTTTTTGCTTCTGCTCCTTCCTGGGGTCACTGACCTTTCTCTAGACACTCTTATACTCCCGAACAGATGGCTAATGACACAGTGTCAGATGAAGGACCAGACTCCATCTCTGCCCGGATGTAGCTTTAGGGGCTGAGCCCTGGCCGATGACCGGAGCCTTGTGATTCGGGCACTCAGGAAACCATTGATTTCACTCAGCCCTTCCCAGGGGTCCCAACCCAGGGGCTCCCTAGGGTCTCTGGATTCAGGAGCTATGNTAGCTTTAGGGGCTGAGCCCTGGCTGATGACCGGAGCCTTGTGATTCGGGCACTCAGGAAACCATTGATCTCACTCAGCCCTTCCCAGAGGTCCCAACCCAGGGGCTCCCTAGGGTCCCTGGATTCAGGAGCTATGGGACAAGGGTCTGGAGAGGGGCTTCCCTAGCTGAGTTTCTTTGAGATGATTCCAGGAGGCTCCTCAGGCCAGGCCCTGACCGAGCCCTGCAGGTCTTTCTCAGGGTCATGGTCATGGGGAGGGGCCCTGAGTTATTCCCATGAGACTGGTCCTTCTGTCTGGGTTGGTGAATGTCTGCAGGGCTGGCATCTGGGAAGGGAACTCTGATCTTAGGAAGTTTGTGTCCACTGTGTGTGACCTGCACTAAAGGCCCAAACCCAGTCTGGGGCGTGATGAGAGGGGGCTGGAGGCGAGTCCAGGGCAGTCAGTCCTGTGTGTGGAGTAGAATTCCCCCCACCGACACCCAGAGGCCGAGAGCAGTCACTCACGGTACACATGGAGGCGTCCAAATCCTATTTCTTTTTTTGAATCCCGGAGGTAGGCCACTATGGTGTAGTATCCCGCGTCCCGCCGGGTGGCCTTCTTCAGCAGCAGGGACCCGTCGTGGTTTATTTTCTCTCGGCCGCTGTATGAAGGCCCGGTTGCATATGCCCTTAGGTCCATTGCGATAGATCCAATATTACGATTGGCTCTCGCCCCCTCCCCCCTGTACCACATAAAGCCCATAGCATCTGGAGGCTTGTTGCGGATTCGGAGAAGCACGTCCTTCCCCTCGGCGGCGCTGGTCGTCACGATAGAGAGCTGGGCCGCGGCGGGCGGGCTCCGGAAAATTAACAGTGAGGCTAGGGGGGAAGAGAGACTGATCAATATTTGCATCTATGTATTAGGGTGGGAAAATGAGGCCCTTGATGCTGAACAAGTCTCTTCAGCTCTTGGCCTTGGGGGGGTGTCCCATGGTCCAGGGCAGCAGCGAGGCCACCACGACTTCAGCGCTTCTCAATCTGTTATTTTTTGTTTTGTTTAGAAGACTCTCTCCAGGTGTCTACCTGGCTCACCCCCACTGCCCTCAGGCCCCAGNACTCTCTCCAGGTGTCTGCCTGGCTCACCCCCTCACTGCCCTCAGGCCCCAGATGACACTCAGAGCGTCCTTGGGAGACACCTCTGCTCACCACCTCCTCTAAAGACTCCCTTTCTCCACTTTCTGGCCTGTCCCTGGTCTGTCCCCTACACGGCACTTGTGGGTCCCTGACATCACATGTAGATCTTGCCTTGTCTGTCTCCTCCCCATAGAAGGTGAGCTCCCTGGGGCCGGGGCTTGTCTGACCTTGTTGCACCCCCACTGCCTGCAACAGGCTGCAAAGACCTGGGGGTGAGTGAGTGAGTGCTCCCAGGGGCCTGCAGCTCCTGGGCTGTATGTGCCTGTTTCTGAGGTTGGTGGTGAGGACAATGTTTAGTGACCCTGGTTAATTTTTTTCTGGTGTCTGCTCACATAAATTGTTATTACTACAATCAGTTTACAAAACTCAATGCTCAGTGGTGAATGACTTAGGAAATGAACAGCAGTCTAGGTTTCCCGCCCCTCGCCACGTCCAGATCAGGGGAATTTGTTGTTGCTGAGCCCCCTCCCCAGCCTACTCTGCTCCCCTGTCCTCTCCCCTCAGGTCCACACAGCAGCCCTCCCTCCGCTCCCAGAGCCCTGCGCTCCCCAGGAGTCACCAGCCAGTCCGGGTCTCCCCTCCTCCCGTCCACCCCCAGCGCTTGTCCCCTCTCACCAGCCAGCAGGAGCCCCTGCCAGGGGACAAGTCCTCTGAGCACAAGGGCTGAGGGGGACTCCATGGTGTCAGCTGCCTGCTCTGTCCCTCCTGTGAGAAGAGCTCGAGGTCCAGAAAGGCTCCCAGGCACTTCTCTGCGGACTGGTGGGATCCCCTGTCCCTGCTCCCTGTGAGCGGAGCCTCCTCCTGGGCCAAGATCACTCCCTGGTCACATGGGCCAGGGCGGGCTCTGCTCAGGATGCACCCTCTCCCTCCCCTTTCCTGCCACCCTGTCTCCCCACTTCCAGTTTGCCTTCACTCTATATTTTGGCTCCCTGGGAATCGCTGACGCCTCTGAACACACACACACACACACACACACACACACACACACACACACACACTTCTCTGTTTTGAGAAGCACCAGCCTGGGCGTCCAGGCCCCAGCATCCCCACAGCTCCCTGTCAGGTGCACAGTAGCCCCCCCAGCCCTCTCTGTCTCTCACATTTGACTTTCCCTTCAGAGCAGGAGTTCTGGGGCTATTTCAGGAAACCCTGTCACAGGGATGTCACCCCCACTGTGCATTGGCCCCTCTAGCAAAACTTTGTAAAGACTGCGATGCCCAGGTGACATCTCAAAAACGCTGCTTCGGCCCTGTCCTGGTGACTCAGTTGGTCTGAGCGTGGTCCGTACACCAAAAAGGTTGCCTTTTGAAAAGTGTGATATGCTTTTGAATGTGTAATGACCTTTGACTTTCAAAATATCCAGGTCACGTCCCAGGGTCAGGATTCACAGGTCCTACTCTGCGGAGATTGGTCTAAGGTGGGTCAAGGAGGCGGCAGGAAGACCAGGCAGGAGACTGTTGCCGTAACCCCATGTGGGAGTGATGGTGGCTTGGACCTGAGTGTTTGGGTTCTGTCTTTACTGTGTAGACTGACTGGTGTACTGATGGATTAGAGGTTATTACTGCGAGGGCAACAGAGGCATCACGAATAATGCCAATATTTCCGACCTGAGCACCTGGAAGGATGGGGTTGACCTTGACTGAGAAGAGGAAGGCTCTGGGAGGACCAGGTTGGGAGCCGAGGACAGTAAAGATCTCGGGTCTGCACGTTACACAGAGGAGCCCCGGTGATGTGGAGGATGGATGCCCCAGGTTGGCTTAACTCAGCTCCTCCAAACCTCTTGAAAAACACACGCAAAACTGAGAAGCTGAAGACGGCCGTTCCTGGAGTCTCTGACAGCAGGTTCAAGGTGTGAGTCTGCTGGAGGGAAGTGGCTTTGTGAGGTGGGGGTTGAGCTTCTCACACTCAGGTCGTGGATCTGGTGGGCCCTAGACTGTGGCTACAGGGGCTGCAGGGGGCTGGGCCTGAGACCAACGCAGCGTGTCCATTTCCCAGTTTTTTTCACCCAGGAATTAGCAGCAGTTTTCTTAGTGAGGCAAATATCCAGTCCTCCCTTGGAGATCCTTCTGGAAGCTCCAAGTTCAGTCTGCTTCCAAATATATAAGTAAAGAAATATAACTTAAGTTAAATAAGTAATACTTTTCTAAAGAAAAGAAAAGAAAAGAAAGAAAAAAGCAGACCGTTTATGGACTGGTGATGAAACTGGTTCATATACCGAGAACTAAAATTTTAAAATTCTATGCTCCTGATATAAAAAACAAAAACAAAAAAACAACACATGAAACAAACACAGGTCAATGCCCATCTTATGTAATTCAGACAAAGAGCCAAAAAGTTTGGGCTTCTTGGACAAATCTTAATCAGTGCCAAGGCCCAGTGGGCACACGGTTTGGATGTGATCACGTACAACCCCAAGGAGCTCCCACTGGGGCTGGAACATGAAGTTGTTAGTCTGTCTAATATTTACACTGGGAGCAAAGCCAGTTCCCGGCTCCCTCCTGTGGGGTGTTCTTTCTGGTATTTGTGACAACACTGGACGTTGCCGTGATAAGCCCCGTGGCTCTGTGTGCTGTCCAAAGTGATCGCAGGAAGGTTCTGGCCTCTCTGTCTGCGCCTCGCTGAGGACATTTGCCACAAACACCACAGTCACCACCCCAATGGAACCAAAGTCATCATTNGGCTCCCTCCTGTGGGGTGTTCTTTCTGGTATTTGTGACAACACTGGACGTTGCCGTGATAAGCCCCGTGGCTCTGTGTGCTGTCCAAAGTGATCGCAGGAAGGTTCTGGCCTCTCTGTCTGGGCCTCGCTGAGGACATTTGCCACAAACACCACAGTCACCACCCCAATGGAACCAAAGTCATCATTGAAGAGCATGCGTTGAGGCTGCTTACTATTTTTATTTTTTTATTTTAAGACATTATCTAATTTAAGGTTGTTTCTCTTGGAAGATGAAGACTCAGCTCCTTTCTTTCNGCTGGTTTTTGTCTTTTAGGTATTTCCAAGTCAAGGGCTTCCCTCTGGGAAGAGGAGGACTCAGCTGCTCTCTTTCCCATCAGACACACACTCACACACTCACACACACACATTTCTCCTATTCCTCTCCCCAGTATTTTTTTTAAAGCCCAATATTTAGTGCAGACTTTATTGTGTCTGTTTCCTGCTTTTCACATGAGAGCCAACCAGCTGCGATTTCTCTGCATTTGAAACTCTGGGGCGCATCACAGATGGAGACTCTTCCTTCTGTGAGCTGCAGACGCGGGGACAGCGGTCCTGGGCATTAGACACTTGTGATGACACCAGGAGAGGAGAAAAAGCCCAGAACCGCGCGCCTCCCTCCCCGGCCCCTCCGGTTACCGTGCGCGCCCTCTGCTGGCCACGTTGCGAACTGCGCCTCCCAACAGGCTCAGATCATTGTTCCAGCCCAGGGTCACCCCTGGGGCAGAGCCAGGAAAAGCCGGTGTCAAGTGAAAATGCGGGGCTCTCTGTCCAAAAGCCACTAAGAATTTCAGGATGGCGAAAGCAGAGTATTAAAGCTACAGCAGGGCCTCCTAACCGAGTGCACCGATTGCAAGCCCTTGAAGTAGGCCCTCCCTGGCAGGGCGAAAGGATTGTCACCCTCCAGGTCATAGAAAACCTACCGCCCTGCAGCCATTGTCACCCTTAATGTGAGCACGAGAGGCTTCCCACTGCAGGTGAACAAAATGGCAAGTTTTCTTTTTTTAATTGAATTTATTGGGGTAACATTGGTAAATAAAATTACATAGGTTTCAGGTAAAATTCTACAGTAGAAAGTTTTCTAAATGCCTTCGTAAGGCACATGTGCTCTGAAGGGTGGAATTGGATGCCTGTCAATGTTGATGCTCTAAGACGACGACATCAGGGATGACAGTGACACTAGTGACAGGATCAGCTCTAATGATCAAGCTGCTGGGACATCCACATGTGTGACCGTTCAGGGATCTGTCACATCCGTGAGGCTTTTGTGGCTCCACTAGTCTGGGCCGTGCTGGATGTAGCCTCAGGAGTGAAGGACACGCTGCGGTCCTTGTGCCGCCACCTCGCCCATGTCAGAGGAATGAAAGGCGCTCTGTGAAGCCTCTGGTGACACCTCATAAGGGAATGACATGCAGACTCCTAGGGTTTGCAGCAAGGCCTGTCACAGAGCTCTCGCCTGTGGAATCACAGAAAGTTCACTCTGACCAGTCAGCAGAGAAGGAAAGGGGGACACATACTCCAAGTTCATCCCAGCCCTCAATTCCCCCTCCTCCCAGGCCACCCTCTGAGAGCCAGCTGCACACGTCTCCACTGGGCCAGAACTGGACACTTGACACGTTTGCCCCTCAATCTGGTCCTCACCCCAAGTCGGCCCTGCGTTCCCCACCTTCCCCAGGCTCCATCGCAACCCCTGTTCTGGGCTGACTACCCTGCGCCGACTCATTTCCTCGCTCACGTCCCGAGCTCCGTAGGCTCATCTTCTGCACTCACAGTGTCCCCATCTCACAATCCTCACCGCTCTCCAGGCTCCTCGCTCACACAAGATGCTCATCTCCTCCCTCTTGTCCATATGTCATGTCCCCTGTCCCATAACCCCTGCCAGCCAGTACACCTGTGCTCCCTCTTGTTCTGATGTCAGGGCATGAATCTGAGTCTTCCAGAACCTTCCTTTCCCCCAACCCTATGTCTCACCCCTCACGCCCATCCGAGTCTGGGAGGGTGGCAGCCCCACCTCCCCACACCAGCTGCAGGGGCTCCTCCCTCAACAGGTAGGTCGGCCCCTCACTCATATTCCTCAGCCCCACCCCGAGCTCCCCCCAAAGCCCTCCTGCCGGACACCCCTAGGTCCCCTTGAGCCCATATGATGCCTAGCACCCCAGCCCTCCACAGCCCCCTCTATGCCCACCCTGCTTACCCACCGTCCACCTCTGGCCCGCTCTCCAGATACCCCAGAGGCCACAAGGCCCAGGACGGGAAACAGAACCGGAGGAGAGATTTCTTTCCATTTCCCAGGTTCTGGATGTGGACTCTCTAAGGACAGACACCTGGAATTTATAAAAACAAAGAAATCAAAGAATGAGGCCACAGATGTGTCTCCTGAGCTCCAGGTCACCGAGGGCCGGAAAAAGGGTCATCCAGTGCAGGCCTGCGGTGGAAGACGTGACAGGGACCTGCATGTTTGCCAGAGTTGTTGACTTTCAAGACAGAATATTTGTTAAAATCTCTGTGATCCTGTTCCTTGAAGTTGCTGGGAAAATGGTTGTGAAATGAGAACACTGTTGGTTAGAACACTACTGACACCGTTTCATGCCTGCAGGTCTTCTCGGATTCTAGGAAAAGGCCATCCCTGGTCAACCTGGGGCCCCAGAAGGAACTGGGCATTCAGGTCATCTCCTGCTGTGGATGCCAAGGCAGAAAGGAGGCAGGAAAAGTAGAAACCTTTATTTGTAGGATTTTAGCCAGATAGGAAAGAAATTGGAAGATTAGGAAATATAGTGAGGATGGACACTGTGAGCAAGGTGACAGGGTCAGCTAATTACCCGTGGGTGATGCCAAAGTAAAACTTATGCATCAGGCAAACTTAAAGAAGCAGCAAAGACTTTATCCAAGACCATGCAGTGGGGCTGTGAGACTGAACTCACCCCTGAAACGGGGCTGGCGAGATTTTTAAAGCAGCAGAAGAAATGATAGGCACCTGTGTTTGCCAACTGACTTTACACAAAAGAATAGGAAACTGCTCATGAAATCCTGACAGGAGGTCTTTTCACGTCTTGGTTGTGAAGATCTCCACCCAAGTTAGGCTCCTACCCTTTCTCAGAGACTGGGACACAGGGACACCAGGAGCATTACATTTCAGAGGGATGGGCCCAGGATCTTGAGACAGATATTCTCCGGGTCAGAGCACTGGCAAGAAGCTTTCAAGGAGACTTACGTATATTTCAAAAGGGAAGAGAAAGAACCTGAATTACAAGTTGCAATTACATTTCTAAAGGAAATGCTCTAAAAAAATAAAGGTCAGACGCCTGCAGTCAGAAAGAGCCTGTGTAAAGGTTAGTGACTCTGAGGGGACACTAAGGCCTCTAGGTCATAACAAAGCTACTTTCTGCACAGNGACTCTGAGGGGACACTAGGCCTCTAGGTCATAACAAAGCTGCTTTCTGCACAGTGGAGGGAAACGCAACTAAATCTCTTTCAGCCAAGACCCAGTTTGCATCTCCATCAGCTTCTGCAGTTTATGAAGAGCTGCGAGTTCCCAGCAATTTATAAGCAGGTGCAGAACAGCTGAGACCCTGAACAGAGCCACACCTGATCTCCCAGAAGGCTGTGCTTCTGGAGTTTTCCATGGAGATATTACATTTCTCTCCACAGTCACCTTCTCTTTCGTCCAATATCACCTCCGAGGAAGAAGAGTATTCTTGATCCTACAACATGGCTGGTGTCACTGGGTTTGACAGATTGGTGACCTGAATGCAGAGGAACCGACATTCACCAGAGTTTGCTCTGACACAGGTTTTTCTATGAAAGCTGGGATGGGAGTTTTAACAGCCTCTGGAGGTCAGGAAGCCTCCCCCTCTCGCTCACCCGCAGGCTCTGCAGCTTTGGCCGATGACCTTTCCTCCAGGAGATTCCAAAAGACCCATCAGGTCAAACTCAGCTCCATAAAGGGCGAGGTCATTTCTAATTCTCAGGGCATCAGTCTGAACTGGGACACTGAGCCAAAGCCTTCATTGTATTACTAACGTTTCCAATTTTATTTTATTAACAAGGAAGATAGAGTCCTATTGAGTTTATGCAAATAACTCTATTGCCATAAAAATAAGAATACTGAAAAAGATTTTAAGAAATTTTTTGGAAGATACCAACCAGGGAGAAAAAGGTCAGTGTTACTACTCACATGGGTGTCCCCCTGTTCATTTCCATTGCCAACAACAGTGTCCAGGAGCCCTCCGCAGGTCCCCCGTGACAGAGCCTGGGTTACCCAAGCTCACCATGAGCCCCCAGGGCCATCCCATGACCACTGCCCATTCCCTTGAAAGACTCAGTTTCACCTCCACTGTGGAGAAGGTGCAACTTAGACCACACAGAGGTGGCATCTGGTGTGGAATGTGACCTCGAGTCAACAATGACAAAGTCTGCTCTTATTTTTGTGCATTTACTGACTCAATGTAAATCTTCTAAGGACTTTCCACCTGCACAACATATCTATTTAAGGGTGCAAAAATTTTATTTAGAGTTTAATAGCATAGAGGAGGGGAGGAGGGTCACTGGGACCTCACATCCAGCTCGACGGGCGCACTTTCAGCGGAACTGATGGGGTTGGAGACTTTACACTGATAACCCCCGGCATCCTCCTGCTGGACGGGGTCTATGGTGAGGGTTCTGTGGTCCTGGGACAGCGTCATCCTGTCCTTGAGCTGCAGATTCTCCGCATTGAACAGCCACTGAGTGGAGATGGCGNCTTGAGCCGCAGATTCTCAGCATTGAACAGCCACTGAGTGGAGATCGCATTTGTGTAGCAGGTCATGACCACGGCGTCCTTGTGCTCTGTGACTGTCGTGTTGCTGGCCAGGAGGGTGGGCACTCTCACGGGCTCTGCGGGGAAACCGAGGAGGTGACTAATGGAGAGTGGGCTTGGGACCTGGGGCCATGCTTCCCCCTCAGAGATCTCAGCCTCTCACAGTCCACACTAAGCTCTGTAAAGGTCACTAGAGGGTGGCCCTGACCTCTGCAGAAGGACAGTTGTCTTTGTTCAGGTGAAAATGTGTAAGGACAGGGCTGCACCTCCTCTCTGACCCCACACCCTCCCAGGGCGACCCCTGACCTGTTCACACAGATAGTGGCGGGTCTCTGGATCCACTAACACTTCATAAGGCCCCGGGGTGGAGGGGGGGCTGGGGCTGGGGCTGCAGACAGCCCTTGAGTGACTCCGCTCAGCTGCTCATGGTCTGAGTGACTCTGCTTTAGTGAGTGCATCTCCCTGTGCCTCAGTTTCCCCTCAGTGAAGTGTGATGAATATTTGGCCACCAGGTTGTCAGTGTATTAACTGTAAAAATTTCCCAGTATCTGACTAAACCTTAGGATAGGGGAGCTGCTCGTCTCTTATTGATCGACTCCCAGAGAGAACCCCCTGGGCTGATCCCTGGCGGACGACCAGCTGCCAGCAGCACTTCTGTCCTCTGTTCCTCCCTGAGGATGCTGACCTTTCTCTGGACTCTCCTAAATTTTTCAGGGCAGTTCACAAAAGGCCTGGCAACCTTGTCCGTCTGTGCTCCCCACACACAGCCTCAGGTGAAGGACCAGGCTCCACCCCGTCCAGATGTGGCTTTTGGGGCTGAGCCCTGGCTGTGAGCAGCGCAAAAGCCTTGTGACTCGGGCTCCTAGGAAGCTGTTGCTCCCAGTCAGCCCTTCCCAGGAGGTTAACACCAAATCTGACACAGGTTCCCGGGGTCTCTGGAGGCAGGAGCCCTGGGACAGGGCTCTGGGAGGGGCTGCCGGAGCTGAGCTTCTGCGTGAGGATTTCCTGCAGGGTTGTTCTCAGGATTTGGTCACAGGGAGGGGCCCTGGGCTGGACTGAGACTGGTGTCCCTCTGCTGAGTCACTCCCATGAGACTGGTCCTCTTTAAGGTGGTGAATGTCTGCAGGGCTGGCATCCGGGAAGGGAGCTCTGATCTCAGGAAGTTTGTGTCCACTGTGTGTGACCTGCACTAAAGGCCCAAACCCAGCCTGGGACGCGATGAGAGGGGGATGGAGGCGAGTCCAGGGCAGTCAGTCCCGTGTGTGGAGTAGAATTCCCCCCACCGACACCCAGAGGCCGAGAGCAGTCACTCACGGTACACATCGAGGCGTCCAAATCCTATTTCTTTTTTTGAACCTCGAAGGTAGACGACAATGGTGTAGATTCCTGTGTCCCTCAGGGTGACCTTTTTTAACTGCAAGGTTCCATCGAAGTTTATTTTCTCTCGGCCGCTGTATGCAGGTCCTGCTTCATAAACTCTCCGAGACATCGAACGCACTGCAATATAAGGGTTGGATTTCGCCCCCTCCCCCCTGTACCACACGAAGCTCAAGGGATCGGGGGGCATGTTGCGGACGCGGAGAACCACGTCCTTCCCCTCGGCCGCGCTGGTCGACACGATAGCCAGCTGGGCAGCGGCGGGCGGGCTCCAGAAGGTCAGGAGGGAGACTAGGAGGGGAGAGAAATGGGTCAATATTTAAATCTACGTGTTAGGATGGAGAGAGGAGGCCCTGGAATTGAAACAGGTCTTTTCATCTCTCAGCCTTGGGGGGTGTCTCCCATGGTCCAGGTCAGCAGCGTGGCCACCATGGCTTCAGCTCCTCTGAACCTGCAATTTCCTGTTCTGAACACTCTTTCCAGGTGTCTGCCTGGCTCACCCCCCACTGCCCTCAGGCCCCACATGACACTCAGAGTGTCCTTCGGAGACACCTCTGCTCACCACCTCCTCTAAAGACCCTCCTTCTCCACTTTCTGGCCTGTCCCTGCTCTGTTCCCTACATGGCACTTGTGGGTCCCTGACATCACATGTAGATCTTTCCTTGTCTGTCTCCTCCCCATAGAAGGTGAGCTCCCTGGGGCCGGGGCTTGTCTGACCTTGTTGCACCCCCACTGCCTGCAACAGGCTGCAAAGACCTGGGGGTGAAGGAGTGAGTGCTCCCAGGGGCCTGCAGCTCCTGGGGTGTATGTGCCCATTTCTGAGGTTGGTGGTGAGGACAATGTTTAGCGCCCCTGGTTAAGTCTTTTCTGATGTCATCTGACATAAATTATTATTATTACATTAGTTTACAAAATTCAATGCTCAGTGGTGAATGACTTAGGAAATGAACAGCAGTCTAGGTTTCCCGCCCCTCGCCACGTCCAGATCAGGGGAATTTGTTGTTGCTGAGCCCCCTCCCCAGCCTACTCCGCTCCCCTGTCCTCTCCCCTCAGGTCCACACAGCAGCCCTCCCTCCGCTCCCAGAGCCCTGTGCTCCCCAGGAGATTCCAGCAAGGGACCTCCTCCCATCCACCCCCAGGAACTGTCCCCTCCTTACCAGCCAGCAGGAGCCCCTGCCAGGGGACAAGTCCTCTGTGGGTAAGGGCTGGGGGGGACTCCATGGTGGCTGCTCCTTGCGGTGTCCCTTCCTCAGTGAGCGGAGCTTGAGGTCCCGTAAGGCTCATAGGCTCCTCTGTAGGCAGGGGTGGGACCTGCTGTCCCTCTTCACTGTGCGCTGGGCCTTGTCCTGGGGCAAGATCACTTCCCTAGTCATGCGGGCAGAGCTGGGTTTGTGCCAAGGACCCTCCCTCCTCCTGCATTTTTGCCACCTGTCTCCTCCTTCCTGTTTACCATCCTTCTATATTTCAGTTCCCTCGGAGCTGCTGTGACATGTGAACACACACACACATCAGGTGCTGTGTTTGGAAAAATGCCAGCCTGGAGCACCCAGGTCCCGGCATCCCCACAGCTCCCTGTCAGGTGCACAGGACCCTCCCCCCACCCCCAGCCCTCTCTCTCTCTCTCTCTCTCTCTCTCACATTTGACTTTCCCTTCAGAGCAGGAGCTCTGGGCTACGTCAGGAACTTCATTCACAAGGATTTCACGCCCGCTTTACATCAGATCTCCTGTNCCCTCTCTCTCTCTCTCTCTCTCTCTCTCACATTTGACTTTCCCTTCAGAGCAGGAGCTCTGGGGCTACGTCAGGAACTTCATTCACAAGGATTTCACGGCCGCTTTACATCAGATCTCCTGGNGAGCAGGAGCTCTGGGCTACGTCAGGAACTTCATTCACAAGGATTTCACGCCCGCTTTACATCAGATCTCCTGTGAAACTTTGCGAAGACTGCCATGCCCAGATGACACCTTAGATGCTGCTTCAGCAGCTACTCAGTTAATGTAGGTGCCCAGACAGAATGAGACCCCGCCTTGTGGGGATGGGGCACCCCCTTCCCCTCTCCTGTGCACAGGGCGGGGCCCCGGGGCCTGTGCAACTGCAGATCCTGACTGGGGGGGTGGGGGGGGGTGGACCAGAGACTCTGCATCTAACAAGCTCTCAGGGGAGGCTGATCTTCCTGGCCTGTGGGGCACACTGGCAATAGCAAGGCTGATGGGGACCCCTTCCCCCGAGAGGATGACCCTCTCACCCCAGCATTGGTCTCTGCGGTGCCCTGGTCTTTGGTCTGTCAGCACCTCACAGAGAGCTCCCTGGGGCCCCCAAACCTGGGGATTATTTATGTTTGTGACACAGAAACTCAGCTGGGCACCGGGTCTTCTTTGTGTTCCCAAATGCTCTGGGAAGGCTGGGCTCCCTCCCAGCAGGAAGGTCACAGAGATGACTCTGGAGGCGACAAGGGGTCAAGCAGGGTGATCACTGCAGAGGGCGCCCACCTTCTATCTCAGGTTGTCACCTGCCTGGCCTTTGCTTCCGGGGACAGAGACGCAGGACCAGGAGTGTCAGAGGAACCTGCAGTTCCCTGATGTGAAGGGGGGGTGTCCTGTGTGTCCTGGGGGAAGGAGACTGTGGTGGGCGGCCAGGCGGCTGTGGGCTCCCTGGTCCTCGGGAAGGTTTCAGGGAGACCCTCCCTCTCCGTGTCTGTTGGCTGAGCCTGTCCTTGTGGCCCCTGAGTGTCGGGGCAGCCTCTGTCCTCTGCCTGGGGGCTTCCTGTGGTCACCCCGCCTTGCCCATGGCGGTGCAGGCACCCCTGGGCCCTGCAAAGTCAGAAACACCCAAACCTGTGGGGAATTTTATGAGTTCATTTGAGCCAAACTGAAATCACCTGCCTGGAACAGGCCTCAAAGCCTGAGGAGGAGGCAGGTTTGCAGCTGGTTTGATATATTGTAACAGAAAAGATGGAAAGTTAGTGAAACCCGCTGCGCGGTGAGAGGGTAGCTGGGGAGCTCCGGCCCCATGAAAGGCATCCGGAGAAACATGCTCTTTACACTGGGGGGTCCCGGACGGTTCACATTTCAGCACCGAGAGGGGGGCGGGGAACCAGGCGTGGGGGCTCTGTGGTCTCGCTCTGGTGCCAGAGGCTGTGCCTTCAACTGGTGGCCCTGGCACAGCCCCCCCCCCCAGGCGGAGAAGCACCAGCTTCTTCCCCCGCTGCGGGGCCTGCAGCGCCCCTTCTCCCTTCCAGCTTCCAGTCCACACGAGTGCATCTGGGAGGCTGAGTTTAACTCCCGTCTGGATCCTCAATCACTCGTTGTGGGGAAAATGTAGTATTTAACCTTTCAGTCCCTCTGATGCAGGAGGAAACACAGAAAGGGCTGGAGCAGAGATGCCAAGTGTCCATAGACACCACATGGCGCGTCTGGGTCCCCTTGCGGGCTGTGAGACTCGGGGCCAGGAACCCCCCCTTAAGAATCCTCGGTTTCCTCATGTGACATCATAGGAAGATATTTTGTCTGCTTTCCTGGCTTTTAGAACAGAACAACTGAAACTCGTGGAATTTCTGAGCGATGAGGGTGATGAGGGTGATTTGTTCGGATGAGGCAGCTCTTGGCAGGCCCTGGGTAGCTGCAGGGCCAGGGCCGCTCGCCAGGGACCAAGTCCTGATGAGAAGCTTGGCATTTTCAGCTGCCAAAGTAAGAAACGTTTAAACCTGTAGAGAAACGTTTAAACCTGTGAGCCATACTGACCACGACGGGCGGATGCAGAGTCTTAGCGGACTGAGAAACTGCTCCAGAGGATGGCAGTTGGCACCTAATTTTATACATTTCAATCAAAGGAGGACACCTAAGGGGTTGCATGAAATCCATTAGTGAAAGACTAGGGAGGCGAGAGAAAGCCAAGGGGGAAATCTCTGAGACGGGATAAAACGTAAGACAAATCCACATCTACTTCGTTTACATTGGTTGGTTCAGGGTGGTGAGCAGTTAACAACTAACAATAGTAACAATGAGGGGTTCTGTGGTCTCTGCTCCGGTGCACTGAGGGGTCCCGGGGGAGGGGCAAATTACCCTGATGTTCCAAAGGTAATTTATCGTAGATGCAAGAAGACTATAGACAGTCTCAGTTAAGGTAAAGATTCAGCGTTGTCAGGAAAAATACCAGCCTAAAACATGACTACCCGCCGTGACGCACTTTTAGTTAGAAAGCGTTCATTTCAGTCCATCCTCTGCGGCTACTTTAGGCCTCTGAGTTTGTAAAGCTTACCACGCAGGCTCCCCTGAGCTTGTCAGGTCAGCATGTGGCCCTGTTTTCATCCACATGTCCCCCTTTTGGTCATAAATCAGTCTAAATGATTCACTGATGAGCAACCTGTCGGCTGGACAGCGTGGCCCCAAGGGGCTAGGAAGGCTCATTCCTTAGGAAGTCTTAGCGTCAGCGTTTGTCCTGCTGAACGAGGGACCGTTGGGGACGGGGCGAGGCTGTAACCTCGGATGGAAGTCAAGGCCGAATTTTCTCAAAAGCGAAAAGCAGGTAGATGGGAGGCAGCCAGGTCCCACGAGGCTTTACATGGAAAAACGCTCTGGACCATTTCTAACCCATAAGCTCTCATGATCCCAGTTTTGCTGTCATCGGATGTCTCATTTCTCTCTAGTTTGCATCTAGTATCACATTTCCTCACAGTTCGAGGGCACACTCTACACCTCTTCAGTTTTCGCAGCCTCACTGTAAGATGGGTTCCCATTTACTATGGCCCATTAACTTCCCATTGGAAACACTCAGGTGCTGTTCGCTATTAATCTGATTCCTGCTAGCTGTGCAACTGGAAGCTGTAACCTTAAGGTTTATGTGGAAACAGGCTGTAAGGACACAATGGCAAGCGACAGACGATAAACCACACGTCTGTTAAGCGTGCAGTCCGATGGGTGTTGACGTGCATGCACACTCCATTCCACCCAAAAGTTTCGCACCTGCCACTGTGACCCCTCCCCCTGCACCCCCCCATCCTCAGGCAATCCTTCTACATAGTATAGTTTGCATTTTCTAGAATTTTATATAAATAGAGCGACTTAGCAAAAAAAAATTTTTAAAAGTAGAGCGACTTAGCATGGTCTGTTTTTGGTCTGGCTTCTCCACTCACCATAATAAATTTTATGAGGTGGTAATTCATATAACAAGAAAGTAATCACTTTAAAGTGAACGGCTCACTGGCACTTAGTGTAACCGCAATGTTGTGCAGCCACCGCGTCTACCTAGAGCTAAAACGTTTCCACCGCCTCAAATAAACCCGCCCCCATTGAGAGGTTGCCCCCTCCCCACCCCATCCCTGGAAACTACCCATCTGGGTTCTGCCTCTGTCTCCCCCTTATCTCCTGCCCCATGTACCCTGCCAGCTGTACACCTGGTGCCCCCACTTGTCCCAATGTCAGGACACTAATCTGAGCCTTCAAGAGCCTTGTCCTTTCCCCCAACGGTGTCTCACCCCTCATGTCCATCTAACTATGGGACAATGGCACCCCACAGTTCACCACTCCAGCTCCAGTGCCTCCTCTCTCAGCTGGTAGGTCAGCCCCTCACTCATATTGCTCAGCCCCATCCTGAGCCCCCCAGGAAAGCTCTCCAGCTGGGCATCTCTAGGTCCCCTTGAACCCATATAATGCCTAACATTCCCAAACACCCCAAGCTTTTTAATTTCTCATCCTGACTCTGAGCACACCCCAGCCCTCCACAGCCCCCTCTGTGCTCACCTCTGCTTACCCACAATCCACCTCTGGCCAGGTCTCCAAGGATTTCAGCCAAACGCCCCAGAGGCCGCAAGGAGCAGGACAGGACACAGAACCAGAGGAGAGACTTATCTCCCACTTCCCANAAGGAGCAGGACAGGACACAGAACCAGAGGAGAGATTTATCTCCCACTTCCCAGGTTCTGGTTGTGGACTCGTTAAAAACAGGCACGTGGAGTTTGTAAAAATAACATAGAAATCAAAGAGTGAGGACATTGCTGTCTGCCCTGAGCTCCAGCTCATGGAGGGCCTGGAACAGCGTCGTCCAGGCCTGCACGTGGCCGACGTGACAGAGATGCTGTGTATTTACCGGAGTTGTTGACTTTTACGACAGAATATTGTTTAAAATCTCTGTTATCTTGTTCCTGGAAGGTGCAGTAAAAATGGGATGACAACACTCTTAATGGTTAGGCTGCTGTGCAGATGCAGCATTTCGGGCCTGCACCTCTGCTCAGATTCTGGGACAAAGGCCGCTCCAGGCAACGTGGGGCCCCAGAAGGATCTGGGCAGTCAGGTCATCTCCTGCTGTGGACACCACGTCGGAAGGGAGGGAGGAAAGTTGGAAATATTTATATGGAGAATTGTAGCAAGGTAAGGAAAAATTGGAAGATTTGAAAATAAGGTCAGGATGGACACTGTGAGCAAGGTGACAGGATCAGCTAGTTCCAGGTAGGAGATGCCAAAGTAAAACACTCATGGGACAGATTTAAAGATGCAGGAAAGAGTTTATTCAAGACCATGCAAGAAGGCTGTGAGACTAAACTCAACACCCCTGGAACAAAATGCTGGAAAGATTTTAAAAGCAGCAGAAGGAATCATAAGCATCTGTGTTTGCTAACTGGCTTTACAAAAAACAAAAGTAAAACTTCTCATGAAATCCTGACAGGAGGTCTTTTCACATCTTGGTTGTGAAGGTCCCCACCCTACTTAGGCTCCTACCCTCCCTCAGGGACTGGGACACAGGGACACCCGGAGGATTACATTTCAAAGAGATGAGACCAGATATCCTCTGGGTCATAACATTTAAGTATATTTCAAAACAGAAGAGGAAGAATCTGCAATTACAAGTTGCAATTACATTCCTGAAGAAAATGCTCTAAAAAAATGGAGGTCAGAGACCTGCGGTCAGGAGGAACCGGTCTAAAGATAAGTGATTGTGACGAAATATTAAGGCCCCCGGATCATAACAAAACTGCTTCCTGCACAGTGGAGGGAAACAGAACTAAATCCTTTCAGCCAGGACCCGCTTTGCATCTCCATCAGTTCCTGCAATTTATAAGCAGGTGCAAAATAGCTGAGAGACCCTGAACAGAGCCCATCTGATCTCCCGGAAGGCTGTGCTTCCGGAGTTTTCCATGGAGACATCACATTTCTCTCTACAGTCACCTTCCCTTTAATCAAATGTTATTTCCAAGGGAGAAAATGTTCTTGATCCTACAACATGGCTGGTGTCACTGGATTTGACAGATTGGTGACCTGAGTGCAGAGGAACCGACATTCACCACAGAGTTTCCTCTCATGCAGGTTCTTCTATAAAACCTCAGGTGGGAGTTTTAACAGCCTCTCGAGGTTAGGAAGCCTCCCCCTCACACCTCACCCGCAGGCTCTGTAGCTTTGCGTGTTTTTTTCTCCAAGAGATTCCAAAAGACCCATCAGGTCAAATTGAGCTTCAAAAAAGGTGAGGTCATTTCTAATTCTCAGGGCATCAGTCTGAACTGGACACTGAGCCAAAGCCTTGGTTGTATTACCAACATTTCCAATTATATCCTATTAACAAGAAGGGCAGTGTCCTACGGAACTTATGCAAATAAACCTACTGCCACAAAAATAAGAGCACTTCAGAGGGCTTCAGAAATATTTTGGGAGATGTAAAACAGGAAGAAAAAGGTCAGTGTCGATACCCACATGGGAACCCTCCTGTGCATTCTTGTCCCAGACGGTGTCCAGGTGCCCTCTACGCATCCCACTGGAGGAGGGACAGAGCCTGGATTCCTGGGAGGTCATCATGTGCTCCCACCAGTCATCACATGACCATTACCCTTCCTGTGAGAGACTTGAGGTCACCTCCACTGTAGAGATGTTGCAAATGGGATCCTCCAGAGGTGGGATTCGTTGTGGAATGCGAGCTTAAGTCAACAATAATGACAATGTCATCTCACTTTTTTAAAAAATATATATCTTTATTGATTTCAGAGAGAGGAAAGGAGAGGGAGAGGGAGAAAGATAGAAACATTAATGATGAGAGAGTCATTCATGGAGCCCGCACCCCAGGCATGTGCCCTGACCGGGAATCGAACCCCTATCACCTGGATCCTAGGTCGATGCTCAACCGCTGAGCCACGGCTGGCCGGGCTCATCTCACATTTTTGAGCATTTATTGACTCAATGCAAGTCTGCTAAGAAATTTCCACCTTCACAACAAATTTATTTAAAGGGTGCAAAAATTTATTCAGAGATTGGTAACAGAGAGGGGGAGGGTCACTCGTACTTCACATCCAGCTCAATGGGGGCACTGTCAGCGGAACTGATGGGGTTGGAGACCTCACACTGGTAGCTCCCAGCATCCTCCCGCCGGACGGGGTCTATGGTGAGGGTTCTGTTGTTCGAGGACAGCGTCATCCTGTCCTTGAGCCGCAGATTCTCGGCATTGAACAACCATTCAGTGGAGATGGCATTTGTGTAGCAGGTCAGGACCACGGCGTCCTTGTGCTCTGTGACTATGGTTTTGCTGGCCAGGAGGGTGGGCACTCTCACGGGCTCTGTGGGGAAACAGAGGACATGACTGATTGAATGAGGGCTTGGGACCTGGGGCCATGCTACCTCCTCAAAGATCTCAGTCACTCACAATCCACAATGAGCCTTGTAGGGTCACCAGAGGATGGTCTGGACTCTGCAGAGGACGATTGCCTTTGTTCAGGTGACAATGTGTGAGGAAAGGGGAGGGCTTTACCTTCCCTCTGACTCCAAATCACCCCAGAGTAACCCCTGACCTGTTCCACAGACATCAGCGCAGGGAAACCCTTCCCAGCCCATGAGTCCTATAACCTCAGCATCAGGTGGAATTTTCCTCTCATGAGTTTTATTGAACTTTTCCTAGAACTTTCTTTGACTTAGAAGAAGATGAGGTCCCACTCTTCATGTAAACTGCCATGTATGTTGGAGAAGGCAGGTTTACCACCTCTGTTCATCTCTGTGGCCAAGGGAGCTTTACAGAAAGTGAAAAGGCATTTACCTCTTGTTAACTAATTTATTAGGCAATAAAGATGGCCCAACCCACTCTTTGGGGAGGGGCCCAAAGGGTGGACTGAGACTGGTGTCGCTCTACTGAGTTACCCCCATGAGACTGGTCCTTCTCTCTGTGGTGAATGTCTGCAGGGCTGGCATCTGGGAAGGGAGCTCTGATCTTAGGAAGTTTGTGTCCACTGTGTGTGACCTGCACTAAAGGCCCAAACCCAGCCCGGGATGTGATGAGAGGTGGATGGAGGCGAGTCCAGGGCAGTCAGTCCTGTGTGTGAAGGAGAATTCCCCCCACCGACATCCAGAGGACAGGAAGCAATCACTCACGGTACACACTGAGGCGTCCAAATCCTATTTCTTTTTTTGAATTTTGAAGGTAGACGACAATGGTGTACATTCCTGTGTCCCTCAGGGTGACCTTCTTAATCAGCATGGACCCGTCGTGGTTTATTCTCTCTCGACCGGTGAATTCAGGCCCTCTTCCAAAATCTCTGGCGGCCACTGAGTAATATGCAATATATCGCTCGGCCTTTCCCCCTTCCCCTCTGTGCCACTGAAAGGCCACGGCATCGGGGGGCATGTTGCGGACACGGAGAACCACGTCCTCTCCTTCCACAGCGTTGGTGGGCACGATAGCCAGCTGGGCAGAGGCGGGCGGGCTCCAGGAGCTCAGGAGTGAGACTAAGAGAGGAGGGAGAAACGGGTCAATATCTGGGTCTGTGTGTTGGGGCAGAGAGATGAGGCCCTGGGTCCTGAGCAGGTCTCATCTCTCAGCCTTGGGGGGTGTGTGTCTGTGTGTCTCTCATGGTCCAGGTCAGCAGCGTGGCCACCATGGCTTCAGCTCCTCTGAACCTGCAATTTCCTGTTCTGAACACTCTCTCCAGGTGTCTGCCTGGCTCACCCCCACTGCCCTCAGGCCCCTGCTGACACTCGGGGGCGTCCTTGGGAGACACCTCTGCTCACCACCTCCTCTAAAGACCCTCCTTCTCCACTTTCTGGCCTGTCCCTGGTCTGTCCCCTACACGGCACTTGTGGGTCCCTGACATCACATGTAGATCTTGCCTTGTCTGTCTCCTCCCCACAGAAGGTGAGCTCCCTGGGGCCGGGGCTTGTCTGACCTTGTTGCACCCCCACTGCCTGCAACAGGCTGCAAAGGCCTGGGGGTGAAGGAGTGAGTGCTCCCAGGGGCCTGCAGCTCCTGGGGTGTATGTGCCTGTTTCTGAGGTTGGTGGTGAGGACAATGTTTAG